TTCAGGGATCTTATCTATGCACAATCAGCTTGTAACACTCCAAAGAGAAAGGAAAACTTGAAATCGCATCATATGACCCCTTTAAGCATTTGTGTGTCCTTCTGTGGGACCATTGTTTCCCTGTAAAAATATTGAAACAACCTTAAAACAAGAAATTTATTTGCATTATGCTTTTTTAATATACACTGCTGCTCAAAAGATTGGGGTCAGTAAGTTGAAATTTTTTTTTTTTAAATAAATATTCATCAAGCATGCATAAAATTAATCGTAACAGTAAAAAGTAACCATAGAGACTTTTACATTTATTGCAAACAATTCTGTTTCAAATAAATGCTCTTCTCTTGTTCACATAATCCTGAAAAAAATGTCATATATGTCATGGTTTCCACAAAAAATATGAAACAGAACTAATAAATATTAAACGGCTTTATTAAACCGCTTTCAAAACTGATAATAAAGAGAACTGTTTACAAATCAGCATATTAGAATGATTTCTGAAGGATCATATGACACTGAAGACTGGAGTAATGATGCTGAAAATTCAGCTTTGCCAACACGGGAAAAATTACACATTCAAATAAAATTGTAATATTATTTGAAAGTGAAGTGACATGTGGCCAAGTATGGTGACCCATACTCAGAATTAGTGCTCTGCATTTACCCATCCAAAGTGCACACACACAGCAGTGAACACACAGTCGTGGTATTGAAGGCGTTTGGAGAGAGCGCTGCACATTCACTCCCCCCACCTACAATCCCTGCCGGTACGAGATTCGAACCCACAACCTTTGGGTTATGAGTCCGACTCTCTAACCATTAGGCCATGACTTCCCCACGATTTCACAATATCTCTGTTTTTATTGTATTTTTGATTTAAATGTAGCCTTGGTGAGCATAACAGACCTCTTTCAAAAAACTTACTTAAAAAATCTTACTGATCCCAAATTTTTGAATGGTAGTGTAATTTCTTTCTTTCTTTCTTTCTTTGGTTTGTTTTAAATTACACTGTAAAAATTACCTGTACATTTTACAGTAAAATACTGGCAGCAGGGTTGCCATCCAGTTACTGTAATTTTTACAGCTGTAATTTCTACAGCATTAAATTGCTGTACAGTAAATTACTTTAATGTGTGTATGCTATATTTAGAATAGTCTTAAAAGTTGTTAAATCTAGCAATGAAATCCTATCGTGACTGCGCTGCTGCAACCCTGATGCGTGAATCTGGGGTTACAGATATGAATGTAGGGTGAACGTGATTTCACCAAGTACCAGTACATTATGTTCCAGGATCAACAAGGATGTCGATCGTTGTTGATTCCAATCAACCAATCATAATTGAGGGATAAGGTTTCAAGAAATGTCAGTTTTAGGCTTACAATCAGTTATAGATGACACCCTTGTTATTCACCTATCATTTCTCTCTGATTTTAGGAATTAATAAATTAGGGGTAGGGATTGGGTTAGGTCTATATTTTTGGACAGTAATGTTGATCCAGGATCAACAAAACTTGTTGATCCAGGAACATGTCGTACATGGCAAAATCACGGCGACCACTACTACTATAGTTACCAAACATGAAAAATAAAAAATAAACTGAAATAAGAAGTCACTTACCACAGTTGTGAATCCCTCCTCTTGCTGCTCCCCGAATCTCGACCATTGAAGATCCTACAATGCCTCTGTAGATTTGAAATTTACAGCAATATACTGTACATTTGCGTCAAACACCACGTGCCCCCAGAATGCATTGCTGTTCACAGCAAATATGCTGTATTTTTAGAAAAACAGCCCGCTGCTGTAAAATTTTGGTGTCATTTTTACAGCAGTTTGTTACAGTGTATGTTTATGCTTAAAAAATGCCCATGGGGTTGGGCAAATAAGCTTCAAAGATGTATACTCTCATAATATTTTGTCTTACATAACTTTGCGTCACAAGTAAATTTGTCTTGTTTTAAAGATTATGTATGTGTGCTCTAGGGGCAAAACACTCATTCTCAACTAGGCCTGAGAATAACCTTGTGCAAATTACACACAGACATTAATGCCGCTCTTGCTCACTGCATGCATCTTTAATCTTACAGTGTGTACCATATTTTGCACTGCTGATGATCCTTGTAGATTTGGATTAAAACATTTCAAACATCAAAACTGTAAAAATAATCACTATGGAGTTTCATCGGCTTTGACATCACTGAATAAGGCATTAGTTAATATCGCTGCAGTCAGGAGTGAACACAGACAGTGGTAATGTGGCAGCTGAAGTGGAAGAGCGTTCAGGGAGGCATGGAAAATCCCAGTGGTACAAGAAGAAAGGGAGTGTGTCCTCCCCGGGGAGGATGTAGAGAGTGATATCGGCTCCGCTCCCAATTCTTTTCGAGTGCCTTCTGGACTCTCCCACCCCTCTCTCAACACTCAGCATCTTCTGTTTGTATCATAAATGTCAAACAAAAGCCTGTGCTAGGAGTGTCACCACTAACATTATTGTGTTTGTCTTCACCTCCCATCACAGAATGCACAATGTTTAAACAGATAGGACACATCCGGCAAGTATCACACACACGCTTGTGTACATATCCTTATGGAGACATCCTGACATTTGTTTTATAATATAATATATATTTTAAATTAATATAATTTATTATTACATTTTACATTTGTTTATTAATACTTTTTACAAGGTTATCAAAACATGAACGCAGACCCAAAACAAACATACATAAACTGACAGCAAGCAATAAATTGTAATTGCAGTATAGATGATTGGATATATTTGTTTTAGTACCCGAGTGGCTATGGACCAAAACCTTTTTTCCAACATCTCAAGAAACATCTGTACCCCAATGGCTATGCAGAAAAGAAACACAGACACAAAAATAAGAAAAGTTAATGATTTTTATATGCAATTAGTATTATAACATATCAAATGAAATACACCAATTAAGAAACATGTTTGTGGAAATGTATATGTGAATAGTTGACAGACATATTTTTATTTTTTTTGCTGAAGACCCTGTTCCATTAGACTGGGATATCATCCCAGCATGCATCAGTGGCCGCCCACTCTCACAAGCTTAAACATACAAAGTCTCAGTCCTGATAGCTCATACATTAAACCTGGCATCTCGTTCCTCAACCCTATACCTCATACTTCAGTTTATTAAACCCAGTACCTCATATATCAAACCCGATATCGATATATAGATATATAGAATATATCTATATATCGATATATATCTATATCTATATACCGATATATAGAATTTGCAATCAGCTGACGGGTCTGATTAAACTGCAGTAAATTGTTCGTTTGAGTAAAAATCTTTTAACTTCAATAATTCAGAGAGTGAGAGACCAGAGTAGGACCATCTATCATACTGAAGCTAATTAATAGACTTGTAAAATAAAGAGCCAGAGAGTGGAAGGCAGTGTTGGTAATAGCTGCTATAGTAGCTGCTACTAATATATAGGTAATAGCAGGGAAGATGGCTAGCAGAGGGGAGACAATCTATTGAATATATAGACGTGTATTATAAAGCTCTAGACCCAGCAGACATACTGTAACAACACTGGAAGATTACAGTCACCATGTCTCCTCCAGCATCCTAAAGATTTGGACAACACTGGAATGAAGATTACCCAAAAATAGTGATGAGCGAGCTCTCAGACGCATCCCAGCACAGTTAGAAGTGTGAATGACGGAAGACATGTGACTCAAGCAGAGCAGATAATTTAGTAAATACCCAGTTTTCTGAGCTTCTTTCATTCGCTTTTCTACACAAACATCCCACACACAAAAGCAAACACAATGATGTGATACAGCATGAAGTCTCAACCAAACCCTCAGACCGACAACACGGCAAGCAATCAATCCAACTTAAACTGAACAGATTTGACCATTTTATGGTTAAATACAAAACCTTTAATGAGGGAGCAATGGGATGTGAAGGAGAAAAGTAGAGAGTGTGAAATATATGTGCCACTTTCCATGAATAGGCTACAAAAACAGAGCGTGAAATGGTCACACTTTATTTGAAGGCCCAGTTCTCGCTATTAGCTAACTATTAATTATGACTTTTGCCTCAGTGAACGCCTAATTTGCTGCTTATTAATAGTAAGGTAGTTGTTAAGTTTAGGTATTTTAATAGGATTAGGGATGTGTAATATGGTCATGCAGAATATGTACTTTATAAGTACTAATAAACAGCAAATAAGCTAGTAATATGCATGCTAATAAGCAGCTAGTTAATGGTGAGAATTGGTCCCTATACTAAAGTGTTACTCATTAAGTCTGAATTATTAAAATTAATTTGATTAATAGAAAATAGACATTTGATAATTAGCTTGCTATGTTAATTTTAGATAAAAGTAAACAATCGTTTGAAGTTCGCACAACAAAAAACATGGATTTGTGCATCTAATGCTTTCAAAATCAAAAATTCATGAGATATAAAAGTGTTATGGAATGGAGGCAGCGAGGTGTGTGTATTCATGAGTATGTGAATGTGTGCTGCTTCAATTATGTACAACAATATCTCGTTAATTAAGAATATGATTCTTCTGGTCGTAATAAGCTTAATGTCCTGTCCTCAGCTCATGTGTGTGGGTTACTGAAGTAGAAATGAACTGAGTGTGTGTGAGTACATTGTACTTAATGTATTGTTTTACCTGGTTCACTGATCTGTGCAGTAGATTATGCGATATTGTATGGTTTTAAGCTTAGCTTAATATGCATTTCAAATTCTAAATTATATTCATGTATTCTAAATTATGCTAGTGTAGTTAATATCTATTTGAATATGTCAGGACTGAAGTGCAGGGTGTATGCGATGGCAAACAGAGCAGCAGGGTCTTTACATTGCATATTATCGCGAAGAGCTCAAGTAGCATACGCTAACAGGGAGTCAAAAAAACACGCTCTCAATCCCCCCCAACTCTCTCTCTCTGTTTCTTTCCCTCTGTTGCTTAGGTAACATGATGTCAGTGCAGCCCCTACCGACACCTTGAAGACTCACCACCAAAATATGACACCGTCCTCAACGTGAGCTGCACTCATGGAATCATCCATGTACACACCTACATACGTACTTCATACAGAGCTTCTAATAAGGAGAGAAATGGCATGGTAAGGATTTAATGGAGCTGTAGTGCTTTTTCTTGTCGATGTTTGGCTTGTGAAAGCATGTGGGTGGCACTGAGGTCCTTCTGAAGTACACAGTGTGTTGCAACAGCCTACAACATATAGGAGGTAAACGCTTCTGATGTCGCAGAATGCTTTTCCTCTTATAAATAGCAGCAATGGATGTATTTCTCCTTTTTTGAGGTGCTGGTGCTTCAGCGTGGCCAGCATGCCTCTATGCATTATTCAGCACACCAGGCAATAGCAGGAATCTTTGTATATGTGGATGACGTTTGGTCTAGTTAGTCCATGTGAACAATGGCCAGTACATGGATGATTACATTCCTGCACTGTTGCTGTTATGATGTCAGCTTGATGACATTATAGAGCGTAAAATGCTATCTATCTATCTATCTATAAAGAATCAGCTGTTTTCTCGACCCCTCCTCTCTCCCCTCATCCCTCACTAATGTTACTATCTTTGAAAAGGCTGGCACACGTTTACACTGCACGCCTCACCACATGCACATATGGAGAAAGCAACACACACACACACGCACTTACTCACACACATACTCACACAGACACACATGCGCACCAAAGGCTAGCCTGAGGACAGCACGCGCTTGAGAGACAACCTCCTGACACACACACACACACACACACACACACACATGAGAGTGCATTCTGTGGACTCAATATACCAACACAGAGGCGGGCCGATCTGCTGGAAACCACAGAGAATTGAAAGACTGGAGCACACCTCCCCCTCCTCTTCCCCCCTCTCTCACTCTCTCTTTCACACTCTCTCTCTTCTCTCTCTGTGTCCTCCTCTCTCTGAGCAGTACAGCAAGGCATTGCGCAGGATTTAACTCCCCTCCTTCATCTCCCTCTTCTTTATTTTAATCGGGGTTTTTTTCTTCCTCCAATCCATCTCTCCTTCTGTGGCAGCCGTTGCTCTTGGCAGTAGAAGGATATATTCATTTCCATATTGGAGCGTTACGAGAGCTGCTATTCGCTCATTTCTCCCACAACCATGTGTGTGTGCGTGTGTGAGAGAGAGAGTGTGTGAGCTTTGGGGGGGGGGGGGGGGGGGGGGGGGTTGGGGGGGGGGGGGGACGCCGAGAAGGACGGCATCTAAAGACGGTGAGTGAAACACTGTTAACCTACTACACACGCACACATTACAATTTGCCTTGATTATGATTACCATGTCTGTGCATGATGTTTGCCGAGGAATGTTTTTTATGAGACAGACTCATCAGCCTGTTGTTTTGGGTATAGAGCATGTGATGTCCAGTTTTTTTATATAGACACAAAGGAAATTATGTGTATGTGAGTGCAGGTGATGTGCTGGAATGCTGCTTTTGTGTGTATATAAGCATGTAGGAGTGAGATGGCATCTACAATATCCAATCATGTGAACACTTGCATATATACACATTTACGGTAGGACTAAAAACATGTGTAATAGGTTTGTATGTCTTTATGCATACTGTATATGTGTTGCTTGAGTGAGCGTGTGTTTGTTTTTGCGAGCGTGTGTCTTTATTTGTGATTCTGCTCTTAATAATTTATCCCGTGGCCTCCGTATCTTTGTTTCTAGCGGTTCTTCGCTCTGCCGTTGACTTCGATTGCCTTCTTTTTTGCGTGTGTGCATGAGAAAGAGAGAAAAGGGACCAGAAGGACTGGTTCAGGGGTGAATATCTAAAGGGCGTTTCTATTTACTTATGTGTTACAAGTCTCAGTAACAACAAACAACCTGTCACACACACGCATAGTTGACCTTGTGCATTCACAGGAAGTTAGTAGGGCGTGGGGTGAGAACGAGTGAAATATGTGCTGAACTGGACGTGGAGAGAGATGCTGCTGAAGTGAGAGACTATTACATCACGTGTGTGTGTGTGTGTGTGCGGGCTGCATGCTCGGGAGTCAAATGACACATCGCTCAACTAATTATCCTCTCTTCACACACACAAACTTGCATATTATCATACTCTCAAACTTGCATGTTCTATGAAACTTAATGCACAGAAAATGTTCACGTGTTTAGCAACTCCAAAAGGTGTTTGCAGAAACTCTCACTTGCGCGCACACACACACACACACACACACATACACACATACACACATGCAATATAACCTCTAAATGTCTGCACATTTTTCCACTGTGCCGTTTCGAATGACAGCCTGGTGAATTGGTGTTGCGTTGCGCAAATACGCACACACAGACACACACGCTGTGATGGATGTGGCAGGTGACAAGGCCGAAGTGTCACAGAAAGGGAGTCTAAGACAGCAGCAGCCATTTTACAGCAAACCGGCCTGGCGTAAACAGAAGCAACTTGTAACCTTGTGCTCAATGATCTGAGACACACACATTCACAGCATTGCATTACACAACTAGTGTTACATAATGGTACGTAATTATAATAATAATATTCCCGTCTCCGTCATGTGCTGTAAGTGTTTCAGTGTCATATTACTGTATTGCAATTAACTAAATCGTGTCTGCAGTGCCAGTTCTACTATGGGTTTGTACCCTGGAGAGTTGTATTACAGTAAGCACCGCTCTATTGCAAATGGCTTTGTTAGTTCTGTTGCTCAGATGTTGCAATTTCATAGCTCAGGGGACTTAAAGGATACTTCAGTTATGTTTGATTGAGGTATCAAGTTGTCTCTATTTCTATTGAAATTCTAGAGGAGAAATACAATTAGGAACAAATGAGACAATTGATATCATACGACATAACTTTTATGTCAGCAAAACTTTATGTACTTGAAGTTGACCCTGATATTTTAAAATAATATAATTTTTATAATACACATATTAAATACACAGTATATTTTTATATACACATCAAGTTTTATTTGATTGTTTTTTATTTTTAAATTATTGCATTTTTTTTCTATTTTTTATGATTTAATATATTAGTTTCATTAGCTCTTAAATCACTGGGCTTTGCTTGACATAATTTGATGAGAAATATTTGAGCTTGGCATCTCAGTGTTCAGCATCTTTAAAAAAAATCTGAGAACAGTTTGAGACATTGTCGTGATCACTTTAGAGGAAACAGTTCTGAGATTACTGGAGTCTTTTTCACAATAAAAAAATGCGAGAAGCAGGAGATGTAAGCATAAACCTCCATTTAATCTCATCTGAGAAAAAAATTTAATATTAACAGTATTACTAACTAATAAAATATTTAAATGAAATAAAAATCCTTTAAAATATTCAAAAGCTCACATTTGTGATTTTTCTTTCTCATAGGATATAATGTAATTGTATTGTCCATCACTGCACAGAACTGGAATGTTAAATAGTCTAACTGATGATACAGTAGAATATTGAAAAGATTTGAGAAGCACAATGTTGCAATATTTGTGTTGAAAGTGAATTGCTAATTTGTTCTTTCCTAATTTAAGATGCCTAGACTACATACAGAAGGAATAAACCTTGAAAACCTGAAACCCAGAAAGTGAGCGGATTCGGAAAATAAGCCATGACATGACAGTGATACTGTTGTTATCAATATGTCAAGGTTTATTTGAGTTTCACCGCAGCTACTAAAGACACAAACCATACAGCTCACACACTAAGTCATCTATGCAGAGTCGGGCAGAAAACAAGAACTCACCTTTAAAAGTCATATTAAGTACAGAAAAAACTGACTACCCTTCAAACTCTCTCTGCAGTCTCGTCACTGGCCCCATATCGCTGCCTGTGGAGGCTGGCATCAGGGCCAGCTGATGCCACAGCAGATCTGAGGCAGCTGCAGTTGTAGAAGCGCAGACATGCAACTCAGCACTGCACCTACAGTGGGTCGCAGGAGGAGAGGAAATCCGGACAGCCAAGGTGAGCCCAACATACACATTCCCCCTTTTGAAGGGGCTGGGCTTCAAGAGGATTTAAGTACTGATTCCATTCATACCGTTTTAAATGCTTTATGTGCAAATAGTGACTATCAATGATCTAAATCAATTTTTTACATGTTACCAGAACACAGACTGATGATGCATTTCAGGAAATGATCAGTTTTATTCATATGTTTGTGGGAAGAAAGGTGGTGTGTGTTGACGTATGTGTCCGTGTGGGTGTGTGTAGAGTGCAGCAAACATCACCAGCTGCCCCAGCAACAGATGGATTAGGATGGCTTTAGTTAATGTGTGTCTGATTAAAGATCTGCAAGAAGCAACACACACACACACAGAGTTCTGCTGCATTGTGACATACTACTGTATAGTGAAAATATTTATTTTCTGGTATAGCGTCAGACTTAAAATCTGTATTGTAAGTCAATACTTAGTCCATATAGCTTTAGTTTTTCTGGGAAATACAAAGCTTTTTGAAAGAATATCCTAGCCAGTCCTTTCAGTTTAATAAAAGTGAACGAGGAGCTCCAAAATGACAAAGCACCATAAAATGATCTTAAAAGACTTCTGAAGCCATAAGCTAGCTTTGTGTGAGGAAAAGCCTGTTCACTGATTATTCACTGATAATCTTGACATCCATACTAGCTCTGCTTGATATGTTTATGAGAGATCTGTGAATGAATCTGATCCTTTCAATTAATATGTTGATCCAGTTGTAAAATGTGTTTGAATGATACAATCAGAAATCTGACCGACATGGTAGTCGAAATGAATAGTGAATATAGTCTCACTACATTATGGCTTTAAAAGACTATAGAGAATAGAATATATAGTATTTAAGTCGTATGAACTACTTTTATGGTGCTTTTGTGTTATTTTGTTGTTTTAAAGCTGCAGACCCCTTTAAATGTTCAGTGCATGGAAAGAAGCAATCAGCACTGTCTTCAAATTTCCAAATTTCTTTAGTAATTTGCTTTATTTATTCTGGGAACTGGAGTCCTCCTGTTAAAATGAGCAAATCCTAAAAGCTAAGAAAAGAGGGACACTTCGTAACATTGTAGTGTAGGCACAGAATAGACGTTCATCCTATTTTAAACTAGGTCCACTCGCTAGGAGATTTCCGTCCTTGCCACTGACATACAGCCTTCTTTGTGGCTACAGGATTGTTCTGAACACATAGGGAACATGAACACAGAGAAAGAACATTGTGTTTCAATAACAGCAGTCATATGCCTATCCTGATGTGCTGACACACATTTGTTCTCAGCCGAACAGAAGAGATGAGAGAAAAAGGGGAACTTGTGCTGGAAAGAAGGGATATACTGGAAATTGAAGGTTGATGGCCAAAACAGCAATTCTAGAATCATTCACAACTACATAGTTTAGAAGGACGGGTTAATTATTGAGATTACACAGAATTGTGTGAGTGTGTATGAGAGAGTGTGTGTGTGGTTGTGATGATTGTATGTATCTCTGATTACAGAAGGATCAGGGTGTTGAGGCTGGTCAGGATCAGATATCTGAGTGCTGTAACTGCATCTGTCTGCACTCAAACTTCCAGACACACACACACACACACACACACAATCAGCAATGAGACAACTGGGAACTCAACATTTAAAACCTTCATATCCATTGATAGCATGGGATTGTTTCACACAGACAGAGAAACATTGCTCCCCACCCTCTTTACACAGTTGCATAAAAGAGAGGTGACGAACAGTTGGCAAATGTTTGTTTTGTCATGGCAGAGCAGAGGACGTTCTTTGTTTAACTTTGAGGCACATTATATTCCCATCATACAACTGAAAAAATTCAGTTGAAATATTGAAAGTTTTGTGCGTTACGTTATTGATTTTCAGTAAATAGCAGGTAAAATTTGGGTCTTTTCCTTAAACAAAGCAAGCGTATGGCTTCGGAAGACTTTTGAATATAGCACATAAGTATTATAGAGTTTTTTTTGGTATGTTTTTTGTGTGTGTCATTTTTGGAGCTTGACCGTTCCAGTCTCCATTGATAAAAAAGCATTTTGAACTTTCTCAATATATCTTCTTTTGTGTACTAAGGAGGAAACAAGTCATACAGTTTTGAAGTGACATGAAGGCAAGTAAATAATAACACGATTTTCATTTTGCGGAAAAATAACCCATAAAGAGTGCACCATAAACAAGTGAGTTTTAAAAAAAATAGCCTGAAGGTGCTGCAACAGATAGCAGCTACTTTCAGCATCTGCAACAAAAATACTGCTGTCTAGAGGTCTGTTTTTACGATCACATAAGCTCCAGTTTAAAATAGTGTAGTGGGAGCAGCAGCTACAGGTTCAGTTCTGTCGAGCACTGGTCCCCTTCATTAAATACTGTACATGTGATTCACAGTGGCACTAAATCAACACCTGTCACATCTTTCAGAACAATCAAAGCAGCTTTCAGGAGGAAATGGCTTATGTCAACTCTTTCAGACACATCTGTTTTTTTTCTTCTTTCACACAGGTCTACTAGGTGTGCTGAGTGTGTGTGCTACGTTACTGCAGTTATGCGCTGGCTGTCCTTCAGAGTGTGTGTGTAACTCACTGGAAGCTAACTGCAGTGGGCGGAGTCTAGTATCTGTGCCCGCACTCACTTCTCTCCCGGAGGGCACACATACCCTCCTTCTGGCCAATAACCGCCTCTCCTCCCTTCTGATCTCTGCCTTCGCCAACCTAAGCACCCTGGAGACACTCGACCTGTCCAATAACTATCTGGACAACCTGCCTTCCAGACTGTTCCGTGAGCTGAGTAACCTGAGCGATTTGAGTTTGCGTAACAACAGCCTGACGGTTTTGGATCGCGAGTTATTTCGCGGTCTGACCCATCTGCGGAGACTGGATCTGTCTCTGAACGGCTTGGCCGCTGTGCCTCTGGGCCTGCTGGATGAGCTGCAAGGGCTGACCTGGCTCTCCTTGGCTGGGAACAGACTTCACGCCCTGGAGAGAGCCACATTTGAGCCTCTCACCAACCTTCAGCACCTGGAGCTGGGCATGAACCCCTGGGAGTGTGACTGCAACCTGAGAGACTTCAAACACTGGATGGAGTGGCTGATATATCGAGGTGAGGACGTGTGTGGGTGTTTTGATTCTCTGCAGGTGTACAAACACATCCTTTGAGCAGTAAGCCACACGAGGCTGTGCATTACTGGGATTTTACCTTAAGAGGTGTTCTTTGGCACAGTCCAAAGCGGACTGCCTAAAACACCTTTAAAGTCACTATCTTCAGTGACATATTGTGCCTATAAAGCGGCGAAAAAAAGCTTTATTAAGCCTAAACAGATTGAGCTGTAAGCTAATGGTAAGTGCATGTACACCAGACATATTGTAGGACATGTACCAACTCTCTCCCTAATAATTTCCTGTCTATCTTTTGTCTACCACTGGCAACGAAATGTGGCAAAACCCCAAAAATCATTGTGAAGCAGAGAAGCCTATGCTTCTTATTCTCCATACTTCTCACTTTCCATTTTTCTCTGTCTTTCTCAATCCTTCTACTCTGAGTCAGAGAAACTCATTTCATTCTATTTCAGAGCAGCTTTGAGAGGGAGGGGGATTTGAAACAGACATGAGTGTCTGAGTCACAAAGCTTTTAAAGTGAGAAAGAGACTCCAGTCAAGGTGGGCTCTGACTCTCTTGGTCTGTTCCAAAACCTAGTGAGCTGCCTACGGAGGCAGCATTTTGAGGCATCATAGATGCTCTCTTGACATGAAGATAGGTATCTTACTTATGCCGCCTTCTGTATTGACCAAATTCAAAGGCAGCATTGCATGTTTATTTTCATGGAGATACCACAATAGAACAATTAAAAATTATATATTATTCAATACTAAATAAATAAATAAAATAAATAGATCAGTGTAACAAAAAAAACTTGATTATTTTACCCAATTTTTGTGTGTGCCATGTACTTAATGCATACTGGATTATTGCATAATTATTTTGATGAGATGCCATTGTCAAACTGCATTAAAATCAAGCAAGAGTGGACTATACTGTGCACACACACACAAAAAAAGAATAAATAAAATAAAAATTGTGTGGCATGTGGAGTTGCTGTCTATATAGAGCACTCCAAATCAGTCCCTCATGAGGTTCCATGACCGTTAACATGCCGCCTTTGAAGGCACCAGGCAGCATGGCGGCTTACTAGGTTTGGGAACAGAGCTTCTGTATGCATGTCAGGATTATTAATTATACACCAGCTACCGCTCTTCCTCTCATACAAACACACGCAAATTGAAGAGGGCTGCTGACCCTACTAGCTGTGCGGTGCTATTTTGGAGGGCTTAAAGCAGCCATTTAAATTCATTAGAGGTGACTATTGCTTACCTCAGAGAGCTAAAATTTTGATTTGTCTTTCTCTATTGCTTTCTGTCGTAGGCGGTAATGTCGATGCCGTTGAGTGTACACTTCCAAAGGACTTAAGGGGTCGTGACATCAGGGGTGTTCCTGTGGAGATGTTCAACTACTGTCTGCAATTGGAGGATGAGAATGGGGGCGGGGCTGGGAGCACAAAGGGTGGATCTCCACCATGTTTTCGAGGGACAGCCACTCCGTCGTCTGAAGGTGCAGTGGTACGTACGGAGGCGGAGCTACCAGACTGTGTAAAGCAGCGTTATCGACCAGTCAGTGTTCGCAGGGCGATCGGTACAGTAGTGATCGCTGGTGTGGTCTGTGGAATCGTGTGTATTATGATGGTAGCTGCAGCAGCGTATGGCTGCATTTATGCGTCTCTAATGGCAAAATACCAGCGAGAGCTAAAGAAGAGGCAGCCATTGATGGGTGATGCAGAGGCAGAAGCCGACGCGGAGGAGAAACAGATCTCATCAGTTGCATAGGGGAATGGGGGAGAGGGGTCAGAGGTCAGCCACAAATATAAAGAACACTTTACTGGTTGAGCTGCACATTTGATGATCATTTAGCTGACCAGCGGAAGATTCATCAACCCTGTTTTCTGTCACTCTGTCCTTCCTGAGACCCTCTCTGACTCGCAGACTTACACTTTACTCAAACTCTAAACTTTGGCCTGTGACCTTTGACCTATTTGCCCCAGGACAAGAGGGACCACTCAGCACTTTAGAACTCCCCCACCCTCCTCCAATGTTGAGAGGATCTCAGCAGAGGATGTGTGGATGCAGCTGTTCAGTTCTGAACCCTGATGTTTCTAGAGGATCATGTGCTGTCATTAGCATTAGCCTCTGTAGCAGCCTAACCATCAACCCAAACCTCCAAATCATAACTCTAATCCCAACCCCAATCCTAGACCTTTAACTCTAATTCCAACCTCTCAAACCTAATCCAAGCCCCCAACTCTAACCCTAACCCTTTATACAAACCCCAACCATAACCATCACCTCTACCACGGGCTACACCGGGTCACACATCACATCAAAAGCCAGTAACACTCATTATAATCGATACTGTCTACAATGGATACATTCTGATGCATTGCACCGTAAATTGATGCCCCAATTTCTGACATATTACATGGGCTTTTTCTACTTCTCCAAAAGGACAAATTGATTTGGAATGTTGACTTTTAAGTGTTGACTCATGCAAACAGCCTCAATCTTGTCAACCGATGTGCTTGGTGTAGACATGGTGTAATCCTAAACTTCCAACTATACTACCAAGCCTAACCTAAAACTTCCAGTTCTACTCCCAAACCTTAATCCTAAACATACAACCCAAATCCCTACCCTTACCAAAAAAAGTCCCCAACCCCAAACCTCCAATTTTTGAAATATTCCCACCTTATTTATCAGCTATAATATATTCTATACAATGTGATGTGACCCCAGTTTTATGTTTTAAGTGTGAGGTTTGTCCTTTGTATTGTGTGAAAATAATTTGTGTTGATAACATTGCTTTGTTTGTTTACTATTTGCTGTTTCTCCATGTTCATCTCTAGAGGTCAGATGTGTTTTTGTAAGACTAGAAGAATCCAGCCCTGGTGTCTGTCGTGAAGTGTCTTGAAGTATCGTGAAGTGCTAATGTAGAGCAGGCTGAAGACTCTGTTGATGTTAGTGGAGGGTGGCAGATCGTGGCTATTGGAACTGTTAATTACACCTTGGTGGCTAAAGAAGCACAGTGGCCCTGTATGATAGCTGCCCTCAAAACAAAAACAGAAAGACAATAGCTCAGAAGGAAATAAGAAGGATAGTATTTTCTGTGCAATATAAATCAATGTCTTTCTTGATCTGTTGTTTAATTCTGGACTAGTATGTCATAGCTGATTTAGTCTGATCTTTTCTCTTGGGCTGGCGATGGAGGAGAATCGATTGCGCCTGTGTGATCAATCTTCTGCTTGTGGACCAATTTGCATAATCCGCTTTTCCTTGAGGGCAGAAATTGTTTGGACTAAATAATTCAGACATATTTGACTTGAGCTTTCAGAAGCCAACAGATATTATCAATATAAGCTTTTATGCGGCAAATCAACCGCAGCGACTGGATGAAAAAGAGAAAGAAAGACCGTCAGAAACTAGCAGCACACTGTAACCAACATATTCATTTCCTCAGTATTACTGAAAATTTTGAATCCGAAAATAATGTTGCTAATAATGTCAAGAGTAACATCATCATTGGGTGTCTTGCACAATGCTGCCATCTATAGGAAGGATGTGCAGTAGGCACAAGGGTATGGAGCAAATATCACACCACCTCATCAGGATTTAGGAGATGCTCTTCCGTTGTAACTATAGCAACAGTCTTTCCCACACACTATTCATTACCAATGCAAATTACTGGTAAGGTTGCTGGCAAAAAGTTGTAAATCAAAAGTACAACTAATTTATGTGCGAATACCCACATAAATTAGCAGTTAAGCATCTAGGACATTGTCTCTGTGTTCAGTGATATTTGCAGCCATATGCTGAGTATATATAAGTACAGATATACATTTATTCAAATGTATGTTGAATATATGTATATATTTTAATCTGTGTCTTACAAATTATTTATAAACAATAACTTGATTGCAAAAATTGAGTATACGTTTCCCTGCGTTTCCTGTGCAAACTCCTTTTGTAGAGGAACTCTTAAAAATTCTCTGTCAGAGAATTCAGAGAAAACTCATGGATTATTAATGAGAGGAGTTTCGACTAATGGCTGCGGTCTCTTGTGCCATTACTGTTCATTTAGCTCTTATTTTATACAGCATGTGTCAAAGGCCTATACTCTGCACGGGGCGACAAAACACGTACCCTGTATGCTCTGTTATGAAAAAAAGAAAAGACAAAAGCACTTTTGCCACTGGTGGACTAATACTTTCCTGTCAAATTGAACTTATTGCAAATATTCTCAAAAGGGAGCACATGCTTGTTTATTGACAATGTCAGCAATGCGCTTTATCTGAATATTAGCCGACAGAGCAGTCGTGATGTAATGTCGGTGAATATGAAGGGCGGTTTATGACTCAGCTGGGGTGTGTTTACTCTCTGTCCTGGCTTTACATTTAAGAGCAGGGACACCACACACTTCACTACGCACCCTCGCTAAATTAAGGCTTTGTAAATCCCAATTGATGGATGAGAGGAAAGGATTTGCCCATTTGACTGAGCTGAGAGCATCTTCAAGATCTTTATGAAGTTCTGGTTTCATTTCTTATAGCTTATTGATGTGACCCTTTCTTCACTTGACCTTTTTTCTAAGACTGATATGAGATCCTTCTTTATATTTTCGCTTGATAAAAATCCGTTTGAAATATGATTTGTGAGCTGTGATATAATTCTGTGTTAAAAATGAATAAAGAATGTATTTCCGTAAACGTTGACGTGTAAGATTCACCAAGCACTCACACACAGTTTGCTCAAAGTAAAATAATAAAATATGAGTAAAATATTCTTTAGTTTTACACAAAATGGAGAAGGATCCGGATTTAAAATCTGAACTGGATGGAAAAACCAAGGAAGTCAAGCGTTAGCTGATTAGCATAGTCTAGTTAGCCCCTGCTGGTAGATAATAAAACTACACCATTACGGTGATATAATGCATCTTTTTCCATTGACTGACTTGCATGAAATTGATTAAAAAAAGATTTAAAAGAATGAGAATGCTAGCAGATAACTAAGTCCAACTTCCAATGACTACCGGATCTTTTTTTATATAAATGCAGTAATACAAGTAATGAGTTTTGAGTGTCTTCATGAGTACAAAAGAAATAGCACAAGCAAAGATCATGTTGAGGAAAAGAGAGGTTCATGAGGAGGTGAACTCCATACATGGTTGCACATCCATACATGGGCACATGTGCACACACACACACTTAAAATGGACAAAGATAATGGCATCTCAATGGGCGGTTTTTCATCAGCACAGGCTAATATAGAAGAAGAAAAAAAGATAAGAATAATCAGGGAAAATCGTACCTCCAGCAACTGCTGTCTTTTTGTTCACAGGGACTGTAACAGACGTGACAGCAATCCCAAACCTGCTATCCACTACAGGGAAAGAAAAAAAAAATACTGAGCACGATGCTCTTAGCAGGGTGTAAAGTCTCCTAGTCTGTATGATGTGGACTGCAGGGTGCTTGTCCTTGTGTGCGGCCCTCTATAGGGACGTAGTACAAAAAGCGTCCAGCTGGATTCTCTGCCGCACGCCGATACCAAACAGGGAAATGGTCCAGAGTAAAAATATTCTCCTTATCTGATGGAGATAAGAATTTTCTGCAATGAAACCATTAAAAAGAGATTAATATAAGTGAGTGTGTGTGTGTGTGTGTGTGTGTGTGTGTGTATATTACAAGTTACAAGTATTCAGATTCATCTACTATGGTCAGTGCCTTATTTACGTTGATTATGCATATTAATATGATTAGCATCTGTTCATTGATTTATGTATAACCACATTAACTAAAGTTTATTCTCTTAATACCACATTATGTTTTACTGCCTGTTCCTCTTTATCTTCCCAGTGATGAGTGTATTTTAGAGTGCATACTGATGAAAGTGATATGAAGTGCTGTTGGAGTGGGTTGCCTTAAGAAAACCTATGACAATGCAGATACGGTCTATGCAACTGACTCGTGACGCAGACAGCAGGAGCTCTTGATTAAAGGTACTCACTTCGCCACACGTTTCTCTACGCCGACATATCTGATCATTCTCATGAGGCCGTAGCGTGTGCCCAGGAACGCAGTCTCCACACCCCCATCAATTCTGCACACGACAGAGGTGAGTTAAAAGAATGAGAAAGGTCATGGGCGAGCACGTAGTTGACTTGTGAAACTTGTCTGTGATGCTGTGTGCGTGGGTGGGAAGTTTTACCCGGAGACATTGAGCAGCAGTGCGGTCCAGTAGGCTTCCATAGGAGCTGTGACCACTGCGTCAAACAGAGTGTGCTGCAGAAGTCTTTCATCATCTGAAGAACAGAGAGAACAGAACTCAACTGCAGATATCATCAATCATTATAGTGTTTAATTCCATAACAAAATGGTTATGCTGTATACAGAGAATACAATGTACAAAGATATGAGATGATTTACAAGTGCAACTAATTGTTTAGCTCTGTTCCAGAACCTAGCAAGCAGCATCCAAACCTAAATGTAACCTTGTAAGTGGCCTGTATGAAAACTCTACATAGGCAACAAGTAGGGTTGGATGCTAGTATGTTGCTGAGACAACAGTGTGCTACTCTAATAAGCAAAGTATAAACACATATTCTGTAAAATGATCATTTTTTCATTAAAATTACCAGTTATTTATATTTTACAGTAAACAATGAAATAGCCATTTATTTAATTTCACACAGCTCACTGGCTTTTGAACAGAGCGTTTATGTTGTGTTTGTTGCTTAAAGGCATAATTCACCCAAAAATGAAAATTCTGTCATCATTTACTCAAGTTGTTCCAAAACTGTATGAATTTATTTCTTCTGTTAAGCACAAAGAATGTTGGTAACCAATCAGCTGTTGGTAGCCATTGAATTCCATAGTATGGTAAAAAAATACTATGAAAGTCAATAGCTACCATCAACTGTTTGCTACCAAATCTTCTTTTTTTGCTCAACAGAAGAAAGAAACTCATGTAGGTTTGGAATAATTTGAGCATGAGTAAATGATGAGAGATTTTTCATTTTCAAGCACCTTGTTGGCTACTTTCTTGATAAAATGCTTTTGTTTTTGCTCATTTGTAATTGAACATGAATTAACCCTAACCCTAAAAATGAAATATCAGGTTAAAACTTGTAGTCTAGTGTCTAAAAGCCTTTAGAGACAGAACTCACATTCCAGGTCTGGTTCTTTCCCTGTTCACAGCCTGAAACTGTGTCAGTTTGCGATGATCTGTCTCACAATATGTCCTGAAATATCAAAAACCATCAGATTAGAGTATATTACATCATTTCAGATGTTAAAAACAGCCTAATATGGTCTTTAGCCTTCGAAAACACCTACCATTCATTAGCAATAGTGACAGCAGAAGCAGTCAGGTCATGCAGGCCTGTAGACAGAAAAAAACAACACAGTTGAGAGGAATTGCAAACCGTAGGCAGTAAACCGAGGCAGACAAATGATCTTTATTTTGCAGGTACTAATCTGAAAATCTTTACCTTCTTCAACTGAAACATTTCCGATAAAAACATTCTTCCCGTGACCTTTGATAAGTACAATTCCAAGACTGATAACAAAGACGCACAATGTAAATCCAGAAGAGTCACACTTAGCCGAGATTTTGATATATTTTATCACTACTCACCTGAATGGAGTTTCATTAATGGTAGTATAAAAATATTCATTTTTCAGGAAAACAGCTCTCTTTTGAGAAGGGAACACATCAGTAGTCACAGCTAGGTTATTATGCGATAAAAAATGAATGAATCCAACAAAAGTAAACTTACAAGAAGCGAATTAAAGGTCAAAATCAACTCACTCTCTCTACTGTTGCTCTGACGTCCAGAGAGAGTGTCCCACTTTTCCCTTTTACCATCGCTGTTCTCAACTAGAGGATCAAAACACACAAACACTGTGAAGCAACTGATCAAAAAAATGTCATGATGAGAGTGTGTGTATGGTTATTTGTATGTATGTGTGTTGTTTCACTTACTGCGTCTTCTGTATCTTCCCACTCCACCTCTGACAGATCCACACTGTTATAGTTCGGCTTTGGCTTCAGCTTCTTACCATCTTTATACTAACACAAAGTATAGAAAACATCAACTTTAATGTGATACAAACTAACAACACAATGTAATCAGCTCTTATGGGAAGTATGTGTACTTTAAGGTGTAAGATCTCTAAAGGGAATAGTGTGGAGCTCACCAGAGGTCGAAGGTCAGGATGAGAGAGTATATAGCCGTTATTAGTGTTTAAGAATGCATAGCCGTGAACTCCCAGCTGAAACGGCAAGGGAAAGAAAGTCCAAACAAAATCACATTTATTATTGAGTCTGCAGTCCAAACAATCGGTAATCATCACTCTGTATGCAGTAGTCTCCATGGATACAGCCTGCCTTATGAATGAAAAGATTTTAGATGCGATCAGTGTTAGTGTAAACAGAGGACTGCATCTTGTATCGAGGAGCCATGAGATGAGCTCTTTCAAAGAGACATCAGTGCCAACCACACCAAGGGGGATCCCATGAGACCGCTACAGAGTAGACAAGAAAGAAAGAAAACATCTCTAAATTGTAATTAAATTTGACCACCACAACCTCAAAAACCAACAATATGTCAGACAAATATATTTTATAATGTGTTGAGTTAATAAAAAAACTATTGAATTATTTAACAAAAACTTTAGATATCAAAAACAACATCAACAAATATTGAAAACACCTGTCAAGGACATTATCAGTTATTGATTAGTTCTGGCTGGTTATATAAGCGCGTTATATAAACTCTTTTTCGTCAGTCGCACCGCGCGAGCGTGTGACGTTACAGACCTTTTACATCATTCTTTTTAGGTACAAAAGTCAGGCTATATGTTAGAATTATAGCGGTATATATTCGACGAACATGTTAGGAGTGTTGTGAATTGCATATTTAATGTTTTCGTTGGATTATATTATATGAGAGTTTACGTTTTATAAGGGATGATTTGTAAGCAGGGATGTGACGAGCTTCCAGTACACTCTAAAAAATGCTGGGTTAAATACAACCCAGTGCTGGGTAAAATAGGGACAAACCCAGCAATTGGGCTGTTTTGACCCAGCGGTTGGGTTACTACCCAGAAGGTTGGGTTAAGCATTTAACCCAACCGCTGGGTCAAAACAGCCTAATTGCTGGGTTTGTCTCTATTTGACCCAGCACTGGGTTGTATTTAACCCAGCATTTTTTAGAGTGTATAATGTACAATATCTGAGAATCACAAACTCTGTGTAAAGTTAGTTTAACTGCAAAAATGCTATATTAACATGTCAAAACTAATTAGTGGTGAGCATTTCAGTTCATCCCAGCGATTCGAATCACTTAAGAATAGTCGTTCAGTTCGCTTTCTGCAACAGGAAGCGACTGTTTTCAGAGTTATGAGTGAATTTTTGAATTATTCAGGTAGCTGGTTCATTCAAAACAACGAGTTTATTTAAGTAATGGCTTTTATCATGACCACAACAGTAATAGCTTAGACAGTGTCCTTATGTCATTTAGTGTAAAGTTAGTTTAACTCTAAAAATGCTATATTAACATGTCAAAACTAATTAGTGGTGAGCATTTTAATTCATCCCAGCGATTCGAATCACTTAAGAATAGTCGTTCAGTTCGCTTTCTGCAACAGGAA